AACCCCTCGTGAAAAACCGTTAAGGGTTTAGTAAGCGTACTAAACCTTGTTAAAAAACCTTTGAAGGTTTAAGATCGATGATAAACCTTTCGAAAAAACCTTTAAGGGTTTTTTAAGGGGTTTAGTTTGCTTACTAAACCCTTTAAGGTTTAGTAAACGACGCTTTTTTTTTAGAGTGTAGGAATAGGAATATTCATAAAATCAGTATTACTTTTCAGTAAAGTAATACAAGAAAAGAAGTAATAAAAAACCATTTCTAAGTCCGTTTAGGTTTCGCAGAAGACAGGGTGCAGTACGAAACCGTTTAAGTGCATAAATTCTAGCATTTTTTTCTAAAACGTTTTTTTCTGAGCAAGTGGACCATTTCAACAGCTCAGTCCTGTTTTCATTGTATAGGGATAGGGCGCCGAAAACTGAGTCTAAAAAATACCTGAAACTTCTGTAATTTTTGATTTTTCGAGAAAAAATCATGAGCAAAAACCATAACCAAATGCACTGGTCAATCGTTTCAATGCACTTAAAACGGTTTCGTACTGCACCCTGTCTTCTACGAAACCTAAAAGGGTTTAGAAATGGTTGCCTTCTCTATACCCCTTTGAGTTTAGTAATAAACCTTTTTTAGAGAGTAGTAATAGGAATTATATACTATATTTGTATTACTGGTAATAGTAACAATAATGTGCCATCCGTATTCGTGATGCTCTCGTCAAAAACGTCTCTGTGAGACTTGTGTAAGAGCTGTCTTTGAGTATGGAGCAATTGTTCATGATAGCTCATATTCTACCTCTACCCATTTGGAGTCCTTAAACTTACGAGGGAACATATGTAACTGATCAATCGTTTTTTTAATGAAATCTAGTGGAGTATAGGTAAAAAAAAGTGCTGAATCCGAATATCGGCATGAGACGGGCCCCTAGACGTTGCGAGTACCGGATTTCTGGGAAACCAGGTTTCCAGAGTCAGAAATTTTTTGTTCCAAAACTTTTTTCTGATTTGTCTCGATTGTAGAGCACATCGAGAAACCTATAAAAAACTAGTTTTCAGAATTCTGGAACCCTTCCACAGCCCGTCAGACGGACTTTTCTTTTTCGTACGCTGAGGTTTTTTGAGGGAACAAAAACACCTTAAAAAACCCCAAAACTAGTATTTTTATAGGTTTCTCGATGTGCTCTACAATCGAGACAGATCAGAAAAAAGTTTTGAAACAAATAGTTTCTGGCTCTGGAAACCTGGTTTCCCAGAAATCCGATACTCGCAAGGCCTAGCGGCCCGTCTCATGCTGTCCGATTGAAATATTTCTGAAAAACGTTGATGGGATGTACAGCTTTGGCGCATCTCTGGTGTGTCTGTCTCATTTAAGACAAAACTAGAATGATAAACGTCAGATATTTATAACAGATATTATGTGTAACTAAGAATTTGAAAGTAAACAAACACTTCATTTTATTTTTTAACGAATGAATTAATTCACCGACTATTATCGAAATTGTTTTCATAGTTCCGCCAACTTTGATGGTTGTTGGAGAATATCATAAAGATCAGCTTATGCATTGCGTAAAAGATTTTTGATGTACACTAAGGCGAAAGCTGTCATAGAGCTGCATCAACTCATCAAGGCTCTTCATTTACAGAAGTACCCCGACTTTTGTGAAGTACTGTACAATTGCAATAATGACGTATTTTTTCGGCAATATTAGTCACTTAACCCTTTACCCACCGCTACAAGATATTTCCTCAAAGTTTTTAAATTCCATGCTTTCTTAATTTTTTGCCATCGATCTACAAATGGTCACTCCAGTGACCAAGGGGGTTAAGGATTAATGAGTGGGCCAGACATAATGACACTTTTTGTTCTCTTTTCTTCCGAGCACAACCGAGGTTCGAAGATTCCATTCTAAACTCATTCGATAGAGAATATTCTGCTCTACAAAATCCATTACCTTTTTTCATTACATATTATTTCATTATTTTAGAAAATAGTGTAGAATACTGACAGGTAAAAGAATAATTGCGACGGAAGGAGCAGGTTATAATTATTTTTGTACTTGATCTAATTGATTATTTAATAACGCTTCTGTTAGCTGTTCATCACATGTACTTTGTGGAAAGAATTCGTCTTCATTTAATTAATCCGCATGAAGAAATAAAATTTTTCCTAACATTTTGCCACTAAGAACGGATGATCCTGAAATTATGGGGTTATTCATGTATATATTTTTATCTGTATCTCGCATGGTTCCGAGACTTCGTTGTGACTTCAGAAGATTTTCTGCTCTACAACACTCTATAACGCACACTTCGTTGTTTGGCTAGTCCTTTTCCTGCTTTTTTCAAAATTCCACATTATCCGAAAGTACAGATTAATTTGTGCACTGAAATCTTCACAATTTGGGTGACCAAACGAATAAGTAGTGTAGTCTGGATGATAGCGCTCAATGCGCTGAACATTTTTATACCACCGAATGCTTCTCCGAAAACTCGGTTAATAACACCGAGCATTTTCCGACAAGATGTTGCTACTTCGCAAATATGCGTTGCCCATTTCATATCGTGAGGAAGACGCATACCCAAAAGTTTAGCATCGGTATCGAGCAAGAGCTTCGAGTTTAATAGAGTTAACTTGAAATCGGGCTTTATTTTAGGATCAAGTGAAATGTAAGTGTATGAACATTTGTCAACGTTGAGTGACATGATTTTTTTCACACCAGTCTGTTACTGTGTCTATTTCAGCTTGAATTAAATTCTGAATAACGGAAATGTTTTCCGATTTTTTGAACGAGAGATCCACAAAAGGGTCATCAGCAAAAAAGCTATCTATCACAGACGACGAAACTGGCGCGGGAAAGTCGTTTAGAAATAAACCCCTGAGAGAATCGGCGACTGGGAGGAAAAGCTCTCGCCAATTTTGACAAACTGAGATAAGATGAAAACCAGTTAAGAAGACTCCCGTCGATACCAAGTAGTTTTAACCTATTTAGCAGAAGGTCGGTCGATACACGATCGAACGCTTTTGACAGATCAAAACTTAACCCTATGCAATGCTCTTTTTCAGGACTTATCTTATTTAGGCTGTTAAAAATAAAGTGAGTAACTCTTAGTAGAGTATCTAACGTTGAAGAAGACGGTCTAAACTCATACTGGATAGCGCTTAACAACCTATTGTCGAGAAGAAAAGATAACAACTGCTTATGAATAATCTTCCCAAGAATCTTACTTATTTGCAGCTGTTCTGACAGACTTCCAGCGATCAAAAGCCGTATTTCTTTTGCGCATTTTTAGCCGAGTATCTTTGGAAAGTGTTATGTTGGCTTTTCGGAGTACATTTACGCGCTGAAGTGGGACGTACTTCTCAATACAGGCACCGGCATGTGTCTGCCAAACTCTTACACTATCAGAAGGATCAGTAGCGTTGTAAAAAGATGGAGAAATAGCTTCTAACATCGAATGGAGTAGTGCTAAATCACATGAAGCAAAATCGCGAATATATTTGTATTTGGTTTGTGGGCGTGTGATAGAAATGTCAAATGAAAAAAATAACGTAAAATGCATAGATTTCTCGATAGGAACCTGATCAAAAACTTTTGGAGCTTTCAGAACAGAAGGATAGAGTAAATAATCTAAACAAGAATCCTTTGTTGTAGTAACGATCGTATGAGTACAAGCTAACGAAAAAACCGCTCCAAGATCGCATGGAGCTTGGTACATTGGCCTGTCAGAAGGATCAGCATTGAAATCACCTGTGATAAAAAGAATATCATAGAGAGAAGGTAGAGAGAAATGGAGAAAGGACTCAGGCGGAGTGAAATATCCGTCTCTTGATTCTTTAGGTCGATAAGAATTACAAATCATAAAGATACGGTCGTTTACTATAACCTTCACTAGTATCGATTCTGTGTTAGTGTCAGTTGCGATCAAGGAGCACTGAAAAAGATCTGGAATGTAGATGAGGACTCCTCCTCCGTGCCGATTACAATCACGTCTGAAAATAGAGTACCCAGGTAGGCAGCATTCTAAATCTGATATCTTGGTGATAAAAAAGTCTCTTGCATACATATTATATGAGGTTTAGCAGATAGTATAGTTTGCTGAAGTAGCGTTAAGTTGGCAAGAATACTTTGAATGCTATGATTCAAAATAGTAAAAGAGGAAGAACGAGATAAAGTACTTTCAGATTGCCAAACAGACGCTAATGGATTAACGTTAGCTATCACAGCCGAAATATGTGGCAAATTGCTACAGAAAGCGAGAGAGAGAAGAGAGATCACACAGAGACAAAGCAGAGCTAGAATTATCGCTACTGGGTACAACAAGACTAAAGACAATTCTTTAAATATTCGTCCAGCGAACTACTTAGTTTGAAAGTACCTGAATCACTCAAATGATGTCCATCACCGGCTATCATATCACGCTTATCATAGTCGATCGATATCAGATCAACGCCCATAGTGGTGATTAGAGATGCTAATTTTATGTTGTATTCATTTATGTCATCATTTAACTCTATAACTGAGGCTTTCAAACCACAAATATTCATCGGAGATACAGTGGTTAAAGCTAATTTCGTATTTGGATAGGATTTTCCAAATGTTGGAATCAAAAGTTTTGTTTTATCCAGGACATCACTCGGTTTGTCATATTTCAGATTGGTCGATCCAACACAAAGAATGAAATGAGGCGACGGTCTAAAGTGTTTTTCCTTGATAAACTCAGTCATTCTCTCGATCCCGGCTCCGCGTTTCGTATAAACGTGATATCAAAACGATTTATCGAGGAAATCGATTGTGCCATCTCGAAGACCTTGAACAATGCTCGAACCAGCTACCGTCACTAATTCAAACTGTTTTGTTTTCTTAACTAATTTATTGTGTTGAACAGTAAGAGACGAATCATTTTGGTTAGGTTGATCTAATGATTTGTAAGGACTGGATGACGAAGAGTGAGGAAAAGTTTTCCTATGTTGAACTGGTGTGAATGACGAAGTGAGAGGAGTACTACTAGACCCAAGTGGATTATCCATTTGTGATAAGATTTGGCTCGACATTTGTGGCGGTACCGCCGACTCAGACGAAGATACAACAGCAAGACAGACAGAGACGTGTTGAGAGCAGATAGTTTCTACCAGAAGATCATGTTGTTCAAGTATCATTTTTATCATCTGTTTCGATTAATCACGACTAACAGAGACATCTCCCGAATTCGATGAACTGTCCGTTGATGATTCATTTGAATAGTTATCTATCTGATGCGATAACGTTTCTATCAGTAAAATTTGAGCAGTATAAAGCTCAAAAATGAACGACTAATGTTTCGACCGTTAAGAGAAAACCTGGAATACGACCGCGCTCTCTTTATAATAATTTTCATTCAACTTGAAAGTTACGCAAAAACGAAAAGTCACCAAAATTTTGATAGGAAATCAGTTATACTTTTTACCTGTCAGTACTCTGCACTATTTTTTGAAATAATGTATAATGAAAGAAGGTGATGGATTTCGTAGAGCAGAAAATGCTCTATCAAAGGAGTTTAGAAGGGGATCTTCGAACCACAGTTGTGCTCGAAAGAAAAGAGAACAAAAGTGCTTCATTATTTCTGGCCCACCCGTTAGTATTGACGATAAAGTCCTTGAAAACAAAAACATCTAAAACAACTTTACACAGCAATGATGCATTCTCTCCATCTTTCCATTACGATATGCCCATTTTAAGGGCCCCCTCAGAAATTATCACCGGCACCGTACATCCGATCTTGACGAAACTTTCCATAAATGTTCGGCACAATGAGTTACGAGAATGAAAAAATTTTTGTGTCTCCAAGTCTTACGGTTCAGGAGTTTTCCAGAGATCAAGGTCCAAAAAAGACCCTGAACGGCGTCCCAAGATTTTTTAATATACTTTAAGCTGGAGAGTTCGGGTTTGTTTTATTTTAAACTAGATACCTAACTACATCGACTGACCGGCGCCGATTTTCCAATTAAGCCTTTATTGGTTTTCCAGGCAACCAACAACCTGCAAAACCCGAAAAAGCCTTCTGGATTTTCTAAAAATCCTCAGTTTGACAAAAAACTAAGACCTAATTCAAAAATCCACGCCGGTCAGTCGATGTATTTCTTTTTCCTCTTTTAAACAAAAAAAGAATGAACTCTCTACGACAAACCGCTATTAAAAATCTTGGGACGCACTTCAGGTGTAACTCTTGTATAGCGAAAACGCTATGTTAAACGCTGTATGAAATAGTCGATTTTATGACTTCTAGGAAAATGTCTGTAACTTTTCAATGCAAGGTCATACAGAGTTGTGCGAAGTCTTATTTTGATCAGATATACTTGCTCTACACAGCTGTGTTTTCAGAAAAATTTTAATTGCATAAGTATCCAGGAAAACACCATTATTTGAAGACCCGTTTTTTCGAGGCTCTTAGAAAACTTGCTCAAAATCCCGGAAAAAACACCTTTGTAACCAAAAGCAATACAGATTCTGGAAGTAGACACTTCAGGCTATCTTTCTATGTGCGTATCTCAAAACCGATTGTTTGACCGAAAATCACCATTTCTGAGGGGGGGCCCTTAAGCCTCCCTCAAACAAACATAAATAAAATCAGTATAGAAAAACGATACAGCGTTCTACACTGTTGCACAACTTCTGACAAAAATAGCGCCCTCTATAGCGTAGAATCATAGGTTGCAGGATACAAATACATTTTGTATTCGTTTTTCTGTTTTATGTATTGGAAGCAGAATACGTAAAACTTGAAAACGAATATAATCAAATTTATCGGCGCATTGTGTCTTTCTCTTTTTAAATTGAGGGGAGATCAAGAGAACAAGCGAACAAGAGTTCATGCATGCAGTGGACTTCTCTTATGAAAATGAGCGGAGATCAAGGGAACAGGGGAACAAGAGTCGATGTATTTATCTATTTCTCTTATGAAAATGAGCGGAGATCAAGGGAAGAAGCGAACAAGAGTTTATGTACACATTGTATTTTGTAGTTGTTGAAGTTAGTTCTAAAAATTCAGCCTAGATCAGGAAAACAAGTCGAATTCGTTTTGTATTGTTTTTCTAGTCCAAAGGGGTCATAAATATTTTGTTAAACGTTGGGCCAAAACTGTTCAAAAAATTATGAAGTATTTATCATTGATTCATGTTTGCGAAATGTCGCAGACCTGTCTGATACAATATGACGCGTTCGGCATATGTCAAACAGGAATGTATGAATGATTAAGGTGGGGGTGGGGGTCGGGTGTTGTGAGAGTGAGTCACCCGATAACATTTCCATCACTGGGAGATTGTTCATGTGTGCGGCAGACTATCGTGTGACTTTGAATTGCGTGATGGTGATGCAGTCTTTATAACATTATTGAGATAAAAGTTCAGCGATTTTACTTGTCATTTAACAATAAAGTTATGACTACCTTGCTCTAGGCGTAAAAATTGGACCGCGAACAAGGAAAACACCAAAGTGCAATTTCCCATTTGTTATTCTTTCCACTGTAGCACGTTTTCCTTTTGTAGGCAGCCAATTATATTCTGTGCATTCGGTCACTTGTTCATTCCCTTGCTCCCTTAATCTCGGCTCATTGTCATAAGAGAAATAGATAAATACATCGACTCTTGTTCCCCTGTTCCCTTGATCTCCGCTCATTTTCATAAGAGAAATAGATATAGAACACAGGAGATGCATTGAAAACGGATGCAAGATGTATTTGTATCCTGCATGACATCGCTAAAACGTCTGTAACCATCACCTTAGTGTAAACTGCACTAGTGTCCGTTGAACCCAAAAACAAAACTCTGAGAACTACTTTAAATAAATCGAACTGGCGAGCTTCAAAACTCCAATTCGGATTCGAAACTTCCTAATCTAATCAACGATTCATGCACTTCGCAAACTAAATTCAGGTGAATCTGGGAACTTAAGTACATCAACTCTCAGTAACATCCTGATTCTCAAATGTTAATTATAAATTAGATATTATTATGAAACTATGTCAACAAGTAACGTTATTAAGAAAACAAAATCAGTATGTTTTTTTTATTAGCCGCTGTTAAGTTACAATTAGGTGCTGCGTGTAAATTAACAATGAATTTGCTAATAAAACAAGATTTTATTGAAACTTGGAATGAACAGCAAAAATTAGGTTCGGTGACTTTCATTAAAAAGCTTACATTTCAGTGAAATCTCTAGTTAAAATGTTTTTATGGAAGTTCCGGTACTTTTATTAAAATGTCTCCTGCAAGATGACTGTGGCCTGGATCTTTTGATGACACAAGGCTTTCATTAATATTTTTAATGAACTTCCTTTTAATGAAAAATTTTTTAATGAAACCCCGATATCTCCAAAAAATTGACAGATTGTAGCAATAAGCACGACAGACGGCGTTTACTTCTGAAATTAGTTGTTCATTATGCAAGAAGGAGAACAGATAGAATATACAAGAGATATCTATTCCATCGTTCTACATCTTCGTTTGCAATCTTTGAACTATCAAATATCTCCTCTTTCCTCATGAAGAGGTCACGAAACCATTATAACGTGTATAAGAAATATTTAGACTTCCGATGTTCTTGTGATTGTCGCTTTCAGCCGTGGATTCGTTGTAGTTTCAGTCTTTTTACTTGCAGAGTGTGCACCCGTTCTAGTAATTGCCGTGATCGAATAGTCCTCTATTGGTTCTCTTTGTTCAATACCAAATAGACGATATAGAAGATTATTTTTGATTCTCCATAGTTCTTGTCTATACAGGCGCGATGTAATTGTATTCACATAAAAGCTGAGACTATAACTCGAATACATGGGTAATCGGACAATTTTTACAATTGTATTTGAGAATGGATATTTTAAGTTGAAGACACTGTTGTAAACAGTGACAAATGTATAAGGTGTATTCAGAATCAAATGTAGAATGACGTGGAATAGCAACATTTTCAACAATTGAATATCACGTCGCTTCATGTTTGTGCTAACTGGATTAACACGGTGTCGTTGTTGACGAACATTAACCATGGTAAGTAGACCAAATAAAATCATTATAAAGGGAGGACATACGCAGTAAATCAGAGAATAATAGATGCCAAAAAATTCGGAATAAGTTCCACTTTGAGCGGCACACATATATGCAGGTGGATTTATTCCAAAGTAAATGGGAACATGTATATACAAGGCAAAAGCAATAATAGTAGTGATTAGTATAAGACGATATGATACAGACACTTGACTGACCCGTCGAAGTTTGGCAGAGGTAGAACTCGAACAATATCTGTCAATAGATGCTAATATTGTGAAATATGGTGACAGTGCCAATGATATGTAACCTAGATAGTTACGAACTTTGCATAAAACTAGAGAGTATCGTGATGGATCAATCATGTAGCCATCTATCAAGAAACGAATCATTAACGTAAAATATAAAACAAATAGATTTACTAATGACGAGGCGAGGAAATACATTGAACATGGGGATCGGAGTGCTTTACGAAGAAATATAATAACATTGAGAAGATTACCAACGGTGCCGACAAGTATAATTGTTATCATCACCGATCGGCTGATATCGACTAGAGGATCGACGACAGATGTAGACGCCGAACTCATTCCACAATACGAATATAAGTAAAGTTTTGCTTTTAATGTCGTATTTCTAGTAATAATAACACTACTTTAAGAAATAGTAAATATGTAGTAAGAAACAAAAGATGAGACTTGTGTTGAATGTTTTAATTTGTGCTGTGAAAATCAGCAGGCAAAAAGCGTATTTATGAGAACTGTAATTAACAGGAAAAAGGTTTATTATTGCACTCTTGAATCTTAATGTTCTTTGAAAGATCTGTTACATTAAAGGGATTAATATGGCAGCTGTCTTCTGATGTACCTAAAAAGCATATTTATGCCATCAAATACCATCCGCACTGTGCCATGAGCTAAGAACAATCCTATTCCCTTGCTCTCTTCTTACGCACCTAAAAGGACTATTTATGTCATTGAATATCAGCAGCATTTTGCCTTCAGCTAAAAATAATCCTAGTCGCTTCTAGGAGTAAAATGTCAGAAGAGGGTATTAGAAGAATAACACTAAGTTTTGCATATATTTAATTTTGTAATGAGTCAAATTTCCATTATAAAAATGAATGATAATGCAGCTAAATATTCTACTTATTAGTCATTTTTACTAAGTTTTGCAGTTGTTATAAGCACTTCAATATACTGTACGAAAAGAGGTATATTTGAAGGTACGTATGGATGAAGAAGCATTTCATTCTATGATAAAAAACTGTTTTTCGTTTCTATCTCAGAATTAGAAGAAAACAGGATTATTTTTACCTGACGGATGGGACAATTCATTATCAAAATTTTAGAAATCTGTTGTTAGTTTGTTCTCTTTTAGTTTTGTTTTTTGTCTTATTTCGAAATAAACCAGTTGCAGAATTACGTCTAAGTGCAACAACTATGATCGTTAATCATCTTTTAACGTATGACTAATTTTGGCAATAAAATTTCATTTTTTTTATAATAATCAAGTCCGCCGTCACAGCGTTAAGAAAGGTAAATAGAATTATTAATTAACCGTATAATCTACGAAAATGATAAAGTATAAAGTTAGTTTTTGATTCTAAACTCTTCCTTTTAAATTTTATTAACAGAAATTATTTCAAAAAACGTTTCGGAAGAATCTTCTTCCTTCTTAATAATTATTTTTAGTTAATTTAGTTAATTATTTTTTGCAAACTGAAGAAGGAAGAAGATTCTTCCGAAACGTTTTCTGAAATAATTTCTGTTAATAAAATTTAAAAGGAAGAGTTTAGAATCAAAAACTAATTCAATGTCCTTTCAAACTATCACACAAAGTATACAGTTATGATGTAGAATTTCTATTTTACCAAATTTTACTTCGACTGATAACTATCAGTTCAAAGTCAGTTAGACGACTCGGATAACATGACAAGGTTCATGATTACACCAAACATCTTTTCGATCCACCTGAGAAATAGCAAGTACACTGAAGAATCGCCTGTCAACCAGTAAGTGATGCCAATAATGTTTCAAAAATCGAAAATAATTGAGAATTCTATTTGTAGTTAGAAAATTATTGATAATAGAAATTGTACTGTTGCAAATTTAGAGGAGTTTGACTGAAAAGTTCCACTGACGCTGCAGCGGAGGTTACAACCAGTTTGGTACCAGTAACAGTTGCTACCAGTATCATTTTATAAACGAGTTTTATTTTATTTAAATTTATATTACTTAGGAGAGTGGTACGTTACGTTTATAAACTGATCAGCTTGATATTCTATGGCAAATCCTGGAGAAAAGCTGATTTTAAAGCATAGCTTTGAGTTAATTAAGGTTTAAGAAATATAAAAAATACGCAAATATCAAGAGACTGGCTCTAAATTCTTTAAGTTATCCTCATTGTACTGTTGGAACAACCATCAAACTAACAATGATTAAAGTAATTTTATGTTATCTGGTGACATTTCCTATAACAGATTAATAGTATTGAATGATTTGCTATGACGTTCAGCAATGTTAATCTAATGGTAGAAGAGCTTTTATACATTCAATCGATTTAAGTTGTCGATTGATTTAATAACTACTTTATACAGATTTATATTAACAAATACATAAAATCGAAAAAAACTCTTGTGAAAATGCACAGTGGACCTCGAATAGCTAGCTACATAGAAATGGCGAGATGAAAGTGAGAAGGATGAAAACTGATATTTTTTGTCGATATCGACCAGAGTGTCTTCAAAAGATATAGATAACGAACTCATTTCACAGCACGTATGTGGATTAAGTTTTCATTTCCTCTCAGAACTTCATCTTTTCAAGATTCTTACTGGAAAGCTAAAAGTATCAAATAAGACTCGTGTAAAAGTCTTATCAGATTCTTATCGGTTTCTTAAATAAAAAAGTGAGAAAATGATAAGAACTCTTATGTACTTCTTATGTGTTTCTTATGAAATTCCCACTTAAAAACATTTTTTTCCGGAAACTGATAGAATTTGTTCCGTAAGTTCACCAGTATCAGTTCTACATCAAAAAAATTGAAAAGAACCCATAACGGGTTTTTCCTCAGGGTTCGAACCTATAGCAAGCATATTGTTCTGTGCTTTTGTTACCAACTGAGCCATAACGAACTACAACTATGATAAGTTATCTCGCCATTATATTATGATAACAAAGTTTTTCGACTTGTTACTTAAATTATCAAAAACAAGGGGGAGTGATCTCAAACTACATGAAAGTGTCTGCGCTTTATTTATAGTACTTTTTGGCTTTTACTCTTCTAAACTTCTTTAATGTAATCAATAACTTTTTGCTCGTTCTCTGTCATCCTGACTTATTCTAACATTTGTGTTGAAATAAATAATCTATCTATCTAAAAGGAAAAAACATTCACCAAAAGTAGAATGACTATTGTTTCAGTAATAAACTGTGGCCGAACACATTTTTTTGAAGCATTTCACATATTAAAACCGAATCTTTAGCTGACTTGTTGTCTAGAATAACTCTTTTTATACGTTTTGAGTAAATGAGATACTATATAGTATAAAATACTTATCAGAATCTGGTAAGAATCTAATAAGCTTACCGCAAGAAATGTGTATAAAACAAATACGAGTTCATATGACTTTCTTATAAGAGTCTTATAATGTCCTTATGGAGTTCTTGAGGCTCTCCTTTGGAATCTTATCAGATTCTTGTCAGTTTTATTAAAAAAATTTCATCTAGGGCAAGTGTCAGGAAGGGTATTTATTTCTCTCATTTCAAATGAACTTGTTGGTTATAGAACTATGCAAAGCGCAGCAAGCTAGCAACATACAATATTTATTTATATTAAACCGTAACAGCAATCCAACATACAAGCGAGTGACAAATGTAAACAAATTTGGAAACAATCAAATTCCATTCTTTTTCTAAGAAAGATTCACAAACTTTTATTTCATGCTCACGTTAATTTTGATTAGATAATAAAAAATCTGTTCTTTCGTTTACTTGACCAAATATCTATGGCATCTTAGGTAAATGAAATCGTGGTATTACATCGGGATACGCTACACCTTTGAAAGTCGGTACTAGAAAATAAAATAAATATTAAAATTAAGTGATAGTCGTACCGATTTTTTCACCTACTTATGCCGTTAGCAGAATCTTTGTCTGGAAAGTAAGCATGTCGACCGAATTTATTGCACTCGATGTGTTTCAAGTGTGGTATTTTCAGTTTCGACGGATCACCATATTGTCTTTGTGTTTCTGTATTCAGTACATAAACTAGACGTGGACGTTTGTGCATCACTGAGACTTAAACAAATGCGACAGTTACGTCTATCTGGATGGTTTTAAATGACTTTGGCAGAAAAGATTGAGTTAAACTGAATAACCCATTTATCGGGTAATCCTAAGGCGCTTCACGTTCTGAATTATTCTGCGCTATGAGACTTTGAAAGCTGTTTATTATATATTTTTCATATCGTAATCAGTAAGTGTTGTGAAAGGCGCATCAGATGACCGCAGTATAAAATGTACCAGTTTACGGATTAAAATCTGTGCTAGATGTTTAAATATTTAGAGAGGCTTTTTAACTTCTTCATGGCATAACTTCTTCATGGTATAATTTCTTCGATGAAAGAATAACTTCAATAAGAAGCAATCATTTGCTACTGGTATCAGTAGTCTGTCCTCTCAAAGCTCGTGGATGATCGATGGTTTTGATTTATTATTTAAAGTCCCTTCCCCTGTCAAAAATACGAAGATTTTCCAAAAATGTCGGTATTGAGTTAAACATATTATGAATAGTCCAAGGTCTTCACTATTCGAATCCATAAAAGAAAAATCTTTATTAAGGGTTCTTGAGGGTTTTTAAGAAAGTGTTCCGAGAGCCTTAGAAAGCAGGCTACATAAAATTGCTCGTAAATCTGGATCATGACTTTTGTCGATCATACTAGTTTACAGAGCAAACATTGATCACGGTGAGATGTTTTCCAGTTCCAGGCAACGTTTCAATAAAGAGTTATAGCAGTTGTATGAAAAGACCAGATATAAACACCATATTTCAAAAGCGCTTTTTCTTTGGGCAGTCAACACCGTTTATCAAATTTCTCAGTCGTTTTAAGAGCCGAAGAGCTTGGATTCGTCTTAAACTGAAGCGAACTGCCATGGAGATCGTAACAGTGCCGAATGTTTGATACAGGCCACCAGTGTTTTACATTATTGAAAGTTATACTCCGGTTTTTTCGCTTCTTTCGAACTTATGAGATGAAATCCTTCGGAAAATAAAGTAAAGGAAAAAATCCGGCCGATTTACGTTGTTACTCTAACTTAATCTGATATTTTAAAACCAGTCTGAGCTCTCCAACTGCTTTCTCAGAGAAGAAACCTGCCTGTCGATAGAAGTCGTCTTTTGACTCATATTCAAGCGATATCTGTTAAACGAAGAACTGTGTGATATTAGCAATGAGAGAAGAGATTCGTTTCTTTCCTCGCAATTTAGTTTAAATTGCGAGGAAAGAAACGAATTTAATAACGTAAATTTCGTGAAAGTTTCACAATTTTCGGAGGAACGAACTTTTGATTTGTTAGTTTGTAAGTTTCTTTCGTTGAATACAGAACAGTCAAAGTTTCAAACTATTTTAGTTTTCCCCCGCAAATTATAAATTTTGTGTTTTTCAAACTTATTTATCGATAAATTGTCATTTCTTTTGATCTTCGAATGTAAGTACAACGGAGTTGTTTCTGACAACCCAGTCTCACTCGTGATATCCGAGCGGGAAAAATCATATCCTGATCGGACTATATTCCGAAGAAAGTATATATCATAGCCCGCTCAGTTATATTTTACTATCGCGAATGAGATGTATATCTTGTTCGAGCTATACTCCGACTGTCTGGCGCCTCTTTCCTGAGCCACAAAGATCTTAAAAATGTCCTTTCGAAGTAGGTTTTACAGGAGATCTTTGAAGAATCAGCATAAATCCCAAAATAGTTTTAATAACAACTTCGTTCTGCTCTTTTGTGAAAACTTATTTTTATTAGTTTTCAACGAACATGCACGATTCATATGTGGCTTAAGACTGACTGACAGTCTTTTGTGTAAAATACAATTTGTCCACAGAGTGTCTGCAGAAAAGTTGTTGAATACAGCATGGTTTTTCTTTTCGTTCATTTTTTTATTTTGTTTCACTTTTTTGCTTTGCTTTACTTCGCGTAACATAAACAGCTGCATAGCCCTTACTGTCTACTTACATCGTTTTCTGTTGAACTCTTGTGCACATTGCTTGATATATTCATCCATACGTGCGACAGCTGACAATCGAAATTATTTAAATAGTTTGCGTATACTGTTTTAAGAAATTTTCAGCAAAAGGTAAAAAATGACAAATTCCATAAAAAAAGCCAACATTAATTTTTTGTTTCTTTTACTACATTACCGAATACAGTAAACATCGCAATTGAAATTTGTCTTTTACACTTAAACTCACATTGTTCTGTGTGAATAATAATAAACAAGAAAATAGCACGTACAGAAACGTACGACTCTTTTACGGACAGCATTTTATGACTCATTATGTCATACAGCACTTTAATAACTTTTAGAAGCTCATTCATTATTATGTTTAATCAGTTTTCTTATTAATTAAATATTTAAGCAGATGAAACATGTGTTTAAATACTGATGTTTATATGAAGAAAACAAAATTAAGAAAAACTTCGATGGCGCCTCATCAGTGCACGTCAAAGAGGTGAGCAGCTGGTAATATTTCATCACGAGGTTCACAGCTGTCTAAAACACTATACGAGAACTTAAAAGAGTAGAAACCCTAGACAGATCGATCTGAAACATAGAACAATGACGTACAGCTATTAACCTTTACTCCCGCTTGCCTTATTTTCGATCCATTCGTAGCAATGACGTAACGGGTGCAAAAGTTCTTTATTAACTTTATTTTTAATATAACTTTGCCATGCACAGTCGTAGAGACCTCATTCTTTTTTTGTTAGAAAGAGCATCTTTGATAAGACAGAAAAATGTTTAGTGACAAGTTGAAATAACTTCCTGGCGTCACAATTTCCTCAGCTTTGCGTGGACACCCAATATCATGTTCTTCAACATATTCTCATCTAATTCTTTGATCATTTCACGTATTCGCCGAGCAAGTTGGTTCAAGTTCTTTGCTTCGTAATTATTCTTGTAGGCCATCTGTTTGAGTGTACCCCAAAGGTCTTCGATGGGTCTGGCTTGAGGTACATTGAGAGAATTTTTCTCCTTCGGCACGTATGATACCATTTTCTGCTTCCAATGTACTCAGCACTTGTGGTATGGAATGGACTCGAGCCAAGTCAGACCAGAATATGAAATCTGTTCCCAAATGATCTTCTTTGATGAACGGAACCAATCGACGCTGGATGCATTGTTTTAAATACGTTTCACCGTTCACCGCATTCTTGCTGATATGGATGTAAGGCTTCGAACATCCTTGAGCAGATATCGCTAGCCATACCAATAGTTTCAGTTCAAACTTCATACTGCTTGTATTTAACGTTCGATGGTGTAGTGGAGGCATCGTTCGTATAGAAAATGCATTTCCAGGAATATCAGGAATACTTTTCGTCATCCATCACGATAAAACAATCCTTTGGAATTTGACAGTACAAGACACCGCAATTCTTTTGTGCGCATTTCTCTTGATCTTTCACATATTTTGATGCTTTGATTCGTTTTTTGGGTCGAATACTTGTTCGCTGATTCCATACTATTCCAGCCCATTTCAATCCCATTCTACCATTTCAAAAACGCTTTTCCCCCCTTTAACAGCCTCGAATCTCGTTCCGTCTCACGGAACAGACGGGTTCGGGATAAAACATAACTTTACCAGTTTGGGCTCACGGACACGGGGCAAGAAAACATATCACGGGCTCGGGCATACGGGGATGGTACAAGTCGCAGAAGATTGTTATGACGTAAGTTTTGTCTTTTGATTATTATTGCTTCAAATGTTGAATTCTTGTTGTTGATGTTTCATATCTAAAATTCGGTTTACAGTTCTTTCGTTTCGATTCCGAAATAGTAAGTGGGTGTAAAATATGCTTTTGTACAGCAACTTTTACGTTTAGAATCAAATAAATTAGGCCTAATTTTTGTCATGCGCATTTCGCAAGAATAAGTTTGAGACTTTAAGCATCTCTTGTAACAGTTATGGTTTATCTCAACAGAAAATTTTTTCAAAAAATTACGAGACAAACGAGTCTGTAAACGTTTTCCACGGGACAACATTATTTTCTTACGGGTTTGGACTTACGGGACGGAACAGAAATGTTAATGTTCGGGCTTGGGGCAACAGAAAAGTTTGTCCCGCATATCTATTAACCGTTTCGTTAATGAGATATAAAAAACAAGCTACATCTTAACGCTTTCTACAAGTAACTTAAGGCATTTATATCTCAGCAACTGGGTTGTAGTTCTTTTGGATCTTTTCTTATAATTATCAACTCTATCAACTGGCAAAATATAAACGCAAGTCGCTTTAATCACTTGAGAATGTTCCATCGTCATTTATTGACTATATCGTTTCGTTTTCTGAAAGTAATCATGTCAGAATGAATCACATTTGTCGTTCTTTACTGCACTCTAAAAAAAAAGCGTCGTGCACAAAACCTAAAAGGGTTTAGAAAAGTGTCCCAATCAGCTACCCCTATGGTTTGGTAAAATGCCGCAGAGAGAGGTATCATATATGCCCAAAACCCCCTTCTAAAACCTTTTTATGATGGGTAATAAACCCTTAGAAAAAGGTTTAGGAGACGGTTTTTGACGTCTACGATACCTTTTCGGGTAGCTGATTGGGACACTTTTCTGAACCCTTAGAAAAAGGTTTAGGAGAGGGTTTTTGACTTCTGCAAATGGTCTCTCTCTAATACTATTGACGTCAATTTTGTGAAAA